TCCTTCTCCTTCTCCTTCTCCTTCTCCTTTCCTTCTCCTTTTCCTTTTCTCCTTTTCCTTTTCCTTTTCCTTTTCCTTTTCCTTTTCCTTTTCCTTTTCCTTTTCCTTTCTTTCCATTTTTTTAAGGAATTAATGGGCTACTTACCCTGCTCTGCATTAAGCAGTGGAGTCAGAATTCTGTGCACAGTCCATGACTGCAGACACTACTGAACTACTTAGCATGACTCAGAGATTCTTCCTGCAATTAAATTGATAAATTAAAAAAAAAAAATAGTAGCTTCTAGGAAGTATGAGCAGAATCAGCCTCCAAATAGCATTAGCTTGTATGCTTTTGAGCTGTGCCTAGCCATGGCATTTATAGGCTGTTAGTCAGCATAGTGAGTGCCGCTACTAGAGAGGTGGAGTAATCCTGCACTTTACATTACTTTACCTTGGTTATTTTGCATGTTTTGGAGTCCTTAAGTTTTCTTCTTTTTTGGGGGGTTTGCAGGGGAGATGAGGTGATGCAGATACAGCTCTGTAGCTCTACTGCAGAGGGAGGATGTTGTTTCTCAGCCTTGCTTTTCCCCAGCATGACGGTCACATTTCTACCAGGGAAAACTGCTCAGGATTCTCACAGTCTTTAATGACCCTCTAAAACAGCGATTTTCATCTTTTTAATATTTAGAGTCTTTCAGAGGTGTTTGCTTAGAAATTTGAAGTGAATCATTGCAGGAATTTACTGTGAATTTACTATTTCTTAGCAACCTTTCATAGATCCTGGAGAAATAACTGATGAGTACCAGCAACTCATGTATCAGAAAAACTCTAAAAAGTCTCAGAAAAACTCTAAAACGTTTCAGAAAAAACACTCTTTTCCAGGGGTATGTAAAGACATGCAATCTACTTTTTTCAGTCCTGAGTATAAAAATTCCTTTTCTCCAGGGTTTTCACTCATGCCTATTGCATCCTGCTCTACAAATAATCTTTTATTATAACTCTTTTCTTTTTTTGCCCAGTATTGTACTTTTATGTTTCTATTTTCATATATTTGCAAGCCTTTGCAAATATATCTATTAACCTATATATCTATTAATCTTAGTAGGAGCAAAGCTGTTTAATCTTCTCTAAAGATCTGGCATAACAATGAATCATTCTTACATGATATCTTTAAAAAAAAAAAACTCCATAAATTTTCATTTTCAACTCCAGWCCTTGAATGGAGTGTTTCTGCACCTCCTGTAAGCATGGAAAACTGCTCATAAATCATTTCAAYGTTGTTTTCTTTTATCACATTTCTTAATACTCAGCTAAATGCATTTACCATTTGATTTTCATGCCTCTAGAATTGTACACTGGAAACAGAGTTCAAGCTGTGGCTACAGGACATGTACCTGCAGTCATCTTGCAGTCGTCAGCTTTTCAGCATATGATTTCTTTTTTTCTCATTTTCTGGATTACTTCCAGGGCAGAACTAGCTCCTTAACAGGTATGGTCGTTATGTTAGGAGCACTAACAAAAGAGAGAAAATAAAAATACTGTCTGCATTCTTAATGGTCAAGTGGTGTGAACACAGGCAGGAAGCTCTTGCTCTGTCTTAGAAGGTGTCCACAAATAACGGTGGAATAAGGAAGCTGAAGGAGGCCAAAGGWGGCATGTCAGTTATGATGGGTGAAGGATCTCCATGAGCTCCAATGCTTTTGCTAAGCTTAAGTCTATAAATGCTGGCCAGGAATTTCACTTCCCAAGCTCTCCATTTTTAAGTGAGAGCTCTAGGAACAGACTAACCTTAGGGCTACATGACCACACGGGAGGCTTTGAAAAAAGGAGGAGAATAGAGCGCCTTGGCATGGCTGGCTGGGGATTACTCCAGGATAAATGGAGTAGTGGGTTTGGGTTTTTCTGAGCCGTGCTGGTTTTGCCTTTCCTCCCACCTCTTTCTTCCTACAGCTTTTGAGAATTTAGAGATTTTTGAGACTGTAACTCAGTATGAAGTGAATTGCAATGAGAGTTGCTTGTGTTTTTGGAGCGGGAAAGGAGAATGTACCTCTGGCTTTTGGAGCCGACAGATTAAAGAACTCTTACYAGAACAGAAAACAACCTTAAAAGTACTTTAGTTATAAAGTTTCTTAATTTTCTCATTTATATTTTATGGGTTTTTTCTTCCATTTGCAGCCAGTTCAATCTATTCTAGACTCTGCTGCATGATCTCCTTAGGTTATTGGTCAAGTCATTGTCAAGGTTGTCTCTGAGAGATACTTAGCACCCTCACCTCCTACTTACTCTAGTGAGGGTAAAACATTCAGCATCCTTCAGAATAAGACCTTACTATATTTCCTTTTGGCTTTATGTAAGAGACATATTCAAAGGCAAACTTATTAAGACWACAATTTAATACTGTATATTAATACTGTGAGAAAATCAGATAGAGCCTGCAGTATTGAGTTGCCCTTGTTCTGTTTGTTTTTATATTAACCRTACGGCCAAACTGGAATATTAAAAATAGTATTTAGATGAGGTAAAAAGCAAAACAAGTGCACAGTCTACTAGTTTATGGAACCAAGTGGGAAGTAAGTGGGGAAACAACTCCACCTGTTTAAGAATCCCTAGAGAAAGACAGGAAAATATTTTGTCAGAAATAATCCTGTAACATAGGGGAACTTCACTGACTAAGGTAAAGGGGATTCTAAATCAGTTTCCCACCCATGCTCCCTATCTTAGAATTTTAACAAGTTGTTCAGAAAAACCTCACAGACCAGGGGCTACTTTGCTCCTTTTGCTCTTTTATTTTTTTTCAGCAGCAGTTTACCAGTAAATTCTTGTTGGGTGCCTTATTTGTGGTTCCCACAGTAAGAACTCAGTAAAGGCTGCAGCTCTGAGACCAAATAACATAAACCTCAATATAAAATCATTGCTAGCGTTTTTAATATATGAGGACAAATAGCAAAGCAACATAAAAGTTAGTAGGAAAATATATTATCTTGAATTTCTTAAGCTGGCATAAGAGAGAATGGAAAAGACTTAGGTTCAGGGCTGGAAAATCTTAACCTTTGTACCTGTGTTTACCCATATGGTCATTTCCATTGGTTTCAACATGCTTCCTCATGAAAGCGAAGTAATGCATAGTCATAAACCTTTACAAGGGGGGTACCCGAGTAGGATYACACTTTAGCGGCCGATGCTGAAGATAGCAAAGCCAGTGGGAAGCCTTCCAGTGATTTCCATAAAGCATGAATCAAGCTCCAAATGAGCGCTGAGCGTCCTGATTATTCTTTTATTGCTCCTAGGTACTTTCCACTGTGCCTGCAAGCAAGCATCTTGGGATTTCAAAATAAATTATACATGGTAAAGTGCAGAGAAAGCTTTAGGAACATATTTGGCAGTCTGAGCTGCTTGACTGAGCAACCAGGTCCAAGAGCCTTGTTTGATGCCTGGTTTGGACAGTTTCTGCCTTGAACCGCCTGCCTTCCTACCGGCACTGCCTGAAAACTGCCGTTAAGATCAAGTCTTAAGGGGTCTAAGATGAAGTACTTCAGCACTTGGGATAAAACGTCAGGAAGGGAAAGTTTAACTGGAGAAAACGAGCAGTGTAGTAGTGATGTGGGAAACGCGTGAGGGTTTCAACGGGAGCCGTGCGTATGTGTGCGACAGCCGGGCTGTTCAGTGGAGATGGGCACTGGCTTCGTGGTCCCCAAAGCATCCCGAGGGCTTCCTCAYGGCCACCCACGGATAAGCTGGACAGTGAGGAGCTCCATGGGGCTGCCTATTCCATTGATGGATCGTGCTGGTCCATGCCGAAGGGGCTCCAAGCCCTGCCCAGCCTCGGGCGCACACCGCGGAGCCGCAGAGCTCTCCCAAAGCGAGCGGCCCTGGCGATGGAGGGGACCGAGACGCGGCCCCGCCGCCACCGAGAGCAGAGCCGGCCAGCGGATGGGGGAAGCCGCCGCGGGCGGGACGGGGCAGGCGGCGCCCGCCGCCATTTCGGGCGCCAGGGCACGAGCCCGCGGGGGCGGCGGCGGCTGCGGCGGGAACTACAAGGCCCGTCGGTCCCCGCGCGCCGCCCCCACCTTTCCCGCCGCTGCCGCCTCGCAGCGGCCGGTGCCGCCGCCGGGACGCAGTGGGAACGGGAACGGGCACGGGCAGCGCCGCTCGCGCCGCGGCCCCGCGGGAAGATGGTTATCCGCGTCTTCGTCGCCTCCTCCTCGGGCTCCGTGGCGGTGAGCGGGCTGCGGGGCGCGGAGCGGAGCGTCCCGGCTACCTGGGCGCGCGCCGAGGCAGCGCGGGTCAGCAACTGTAATTGTCGCCGTAATTACTGATTTAACTAGAGCAGTCGCGAGGCCCAAAGGCGAGCCCGGCTTTGCGGCAACCCGGAGGGTGCGAGGCTCCGCGGCAGGACGGGGAACCAAGGGAAGCTGCTCGGGGCGGGCGGGCCAGCAKGTCTACCCGCTCCGGCGCGSGCGGGCCAGCAGGTCTACCCGCGGTGCGCGGGCCAGCAGGTCTACCCGCACGGGGCGGGCAGGTCCCACCGCGGCTCCCCCGGCTCCCCCATGTAAGGCGGCGGCTCCGCTGCCGTCGCGCGGGCTGAGCGCCCGGCCGGGGCTGCGCGCGCTGCTGCGGAGCGCCCGGCGCGCTGGGAGCAGCGGGGCTCGCGCCGCGGGGAGGAGGGCGCCGCGCCGGTCCCGTCCCGGCCGCGGGATTGCGGCTTCGCCTCTGCCCGCGGCGCCTTCCCTGGGCGACCAGCTCGCCGCTCTCGGCAGCCCCGGCCGGGCTGCGGGCCGGGCTGCCCCCGCCGCAAGGTGCCCGGTGCCCGAGGCCGGTGTGTCCGGCCCGTCGGCGCTCCTGCCGCCTTCTCCCCTGCGCGCCGGCACAGCGGGGCTCTAGCACGTATGCACCTTCTTTGSACAGGTAAAGCGTTAGGTCTGCGTACAGCCTGGTGCGAGGAGAAGAGGTAACTTGGTGGGTGAGCAATCCGTAACGCAGTGCTAAAGCTTTGATATCTCCTTTCTGCCTGCTTTTCTTCATCTGATTTATCTCAGCATTTAGGAACCTACATTACAGGCTCCGTTCCTGCTGTGCTCGGTGCTGCATCCCAGAGGCTTTTTCCTGCGGGGCCTTTGCAGGGGGTGCCTATAGATCCTTGCAAAATGCATGAGGAAAAGGGCAAACAAACAGGCCAAATGTCCGCGGGTTACATGGGAAGCCACATCTGGGGAAAAGGGCAGTTGTTCTGCTAGCACATCTGTGAGCAGGGGAGTTTTCATCTTAATTTCGTGCTCCCGAACATAAAAACTAGCCCTAAGCTTTAGGGAGGATGAAGAAAAGTGCCTGGGTGGGATAACTCCTTGTCTTCTCCTCCTGTTCAGCACAAGTAGGTCAGCAGCTTTCTGAGAATTTGTGAGGCAGGATGATTACTTTGTCTGAAGAAATTAATACTGCTCAGAGATCCTAGACTCTCTCCCACTTAAAAACAGTGTCAGAATCGATGGTTTAATTTTGACTTGTAGGTCATCATGGGTCAAAATGTAGGGTGGTAGTTTGTACAGCTTCTACCACCAAAGTTTGGATCATTTTGTTCTAACCTGCAAAGAAAAAGGCTCTTCTGGGGACAGGGTGCCCATCTCAGCTTTTCCTTTACTTTACAGATCTCCATAGCTTTAATGTAAGTGGGTGGCAGGTTCGTTTCTAGGTTGTCGCCGTTCTGGCCCACGTGATAAGAAGCTTTTTGGACAGTGTTAAGGACAAGGGCTGGTTGATGACTAATCGCAAAGTCATGCGGTTCTATAGGAAACTGGTGTTCTGGGCCCTTCCATTCTGTGAGGGCTTGTTTCCAAATTTTGGTCTTACATGTGTAATCACCCAGTGATTGATTCACACAGATTTATTGCCCTTTACTCGTTAGTGCATTGCTTTCTCCTGGACATACTGCAATACTGAGAAATAAATCCCTCGGCGTCTAATATATGTATATGGATGTGACTGAGGTTGGTGTCGGAGCTGTTCTGCTTGACCCAAACATTCTATATGTCATGTTCTCTGGCAAGCTAAAAGCAAAGTCATAGAGGTGTGATTCACTTTTCTRTTCCCACTAGAGATATTTTTGTTAAATCATTCTTTGTTTTTAAAATGAAGAGTCCATCTGGTCTCTAGAGGAGGCTTTTGGCTTTCTTTTTGCCTTACCAGCAGCATGTTGCTGTTGAAACRAGGAGACTTCTCAGGTTGCTGAAGCTAATCTGGTTTGAATATGTTTGCAAAGAGGGAGGGGTGAAGAGAGTGACTTGTTTGTATAAAAATAATATGCAGCAATTCCTTGATATTAGCTGGGGGTGGATGATATTACCTAGCAAATCGAATTAGCCGAACTCCTTTTGAAATCTTCACAGTGCCCTCACTGAATGATGTACATTTAGCTGAAACATTGCAGAGGAATATGCTGACCACAGAGCCAGCACAGATTGCAGTTKGCTGGAATGCAGCTTTCCCTGGAATTTTTTTTTTTWAARKTT